TTAGTAATTATGAAATAACTAGAAAACCTCACAATAATTAACCTTTCATCCCAATGAATAAACCAATTATAGAATACCAAAAATTGTAGGCTCCGTAACCATGCGAGCAACAAAATTTATTTAACGATAGATAATTACATTTCATCAAAGTCAAGAAAAGTGAATAACTTCCCTTCTTTTGAGTTACATAGGTCTAAAGGGACATCACTGTAGCCGTTTTTCTGGTTAATAAGAAAATACATTTTATTACCCTAGCCGGGGTTGTCGGGGCTCCAATTATTGTGTTACCTCCCTTCGAGGCCGGCTAGAGTTACAGAAAGAGGAGCGATTTTAATGCTATACCGTGGACTGGAAATAAGGGGAAATAACTCCATTGATAAGATGATCTCTGGGGAAATGGTAACATATTTTCATGCCTTTACAAGATAAATTTAAACTTTAATTGAGAAAACTTTTTTTCGTTTCTAGCTTCGGAACAGCGGTGTTTTCTAACCAAAAGTAATATAGTTTTTTAATGAATAGCCGAGCATTTATTTAAACCAGTGGTTCTTAACCTTTTTGGATGTACCGAACCCCACCAGTTTCATACGCGCATTCCCCGAACCCTTCTAAATTCTTCTACACTGACAAAAATCCGACCGTGAATCATAGGAGTCGGGTGTCTCTTGACCTCCGCCGAACCCCTGAGGCTGACTCAACGAACCCCTGATTAAGAACAACCGCTGACTATATATATATATATATATATATATATATATATATATATATATATATATATATATATATATATATATATATATATATAGTCAGAGAGAGAGAGAGAGAGAGAGAGAGAGAGAGAGAGAGAGAGAGATATTTCAAATAGAACAACCATTGTGATTGCGCCAGTTCATATAGTGAACCTGCAAGGAGAGCTGTATGGTCTAAGGACTATCAGTGCCATCATACAACAACAGGGGTTCTGCCTTGGATCCCTTAATGGGTTCCTAATGTTGCCCTTAATTGTGCCCTTAGTTGTGCTCTTAATCGTGCCCTGGATGTTACCTTTAATTGTGCCCCAATGGTGGCCTTAATGGTGCCCTTAATGGTTCCCTTATACACCGACAGAATCTGCCCTCCATGGTGGCATTAAATTAAGACAGCACAGAGATTTCAAATAGGGAACAAAGAATTCCCAACATTATAATGTCTCATTTTGTTCAACATCATCATCAGACGCGGCGGCCATCATCATCACCACTATACACGGCCATCATCATCACCACTCTACACGGCCACAATCATCACCACTCTACACGGCCATCATCATCATCACCACTATACACGGCCATCATCATCATCACCACTATACACGGCCACCGTCATCACCACTATACACGGCCACCATCATCACCACTATACACGGCCACCGTCATCACCACTATACACGGCCATCATCATCATCACCACTATACACGGCCATCATCATCATCACCACTCTACACGGCCACCATCATCACCACTATACACGTCCACCATCATCACTACTATACACGGCCATCATCATCATCACCACTATACACGGCCACCATCATCACCACTATACACGGCCACCATCATTACCACTCTACACGTCCATCATCATCACCACTACACGGCCATCATCATCATCATCACCACTACACGGCCATCATCATCACCACTACACGGCCATCATCATCATCATCACCACTACACGGCCATCATCATCATCATCACCACTATACACGGCCATCATCATCACCTCTATACACGACCATCATCATCACAACTATACACGGCCACCATCATCACCACTCTACACGACCATCATCATCACAACTATACACGGCCATCATCATCATCACCACTACACGGCCATCATCATCATCATCACCACTATACACGGCCATCATCATCACCACTATACACGACCATCATCATCACAACTATACACGGCCACCATCATCACCACTCTACACGACCATCATCATCACAACTATACACGGCCATCATCATCACAACTATACACGGCCATCATCATCACCACTCTACACGGCCATCATCATCACCACTATACACGGACATCATCATCACCACTCTACATGGCCACCATCATCACCACTATACACGGCCATCATCATCACCACTATACACGGCCACCATCATCACCACTATACACGACCATCATCATCACCACTATACACGGCCACCATCATCACCACTATACACGGCCACCATCATCACCACTATACACGGCCATCATCATCACCACTATACACGGCCACCATCATCACCACTATACACGGCCACCATCATCACCACTATACACGGCCATCATCATCACTACTATACACGGCCACCATCATCACCACTATACACGACCATCATCACCACTATACACGGCCACCATCATCACCACTATACACGGCCACCATCATCACCACTATACACAGCCAACATCATCACCACTATACACGGCCACCATCATCACCACTATACACAGCCACCATCATCACCACTATACACAGCCATCATCATCACCACTATACACGACCACCTTCATCACCACTCTACACGGCCACCATCATCACCACTCTACACGGCCATCATCACTACTATACACGGCCACCATCATCACCACTCTACACGGACATCATCACCACTCTACACGGCCATCATCACCACTCTACACAGCCATCATCACCACTACTATACAGGACCATCATAATCACCACTATACACGGCTACCGTCATCACCACTATACAGGGCCACCATCATCACCACTCTACACGGCCATCATCATCACTACTATACACGGCCATCATCATCACTACTATACACGGCCATCATCATCACCACTATACAAGGCCACCATCATCACCACTATACAAGGCCACCATTATCACCAATATACACTGCCATCATCATCACCACTATACAAGGCCACCATCATCACCAATATACACTGCCATCATCATCACCACTATACAAGGCCACCATCATCACCAATATACACTGCCATCATCATCACCACTATACACGGCCATCATCATCACCACTATACGGCCATCATCATCACCACTCTACACGGCGGCAATCATCATCACCACTATACACGGCCACCATCATCACCACTCTAACGGCGGCAATCATCATCACCAATATACACTGCCATCATCATCACCACTCTACACGGCGGCAATCATCATCACCACTATACACGGCCACCATCATCATCACCACTATACACGGCCACCATCATCACCACTATACACGGCCACCATCATCACCACTATACACGGCCACCATCATCACCACTCTAACGGCGGCCTTAAGACCCATCCAAGGCTCACCTAAGGGCTCGCCCTGATATACACAAGTACCAGACACGTCAGGGGAAATCATCCCAATGCAAGTTCGTATCATCCTCCTGACAATTAACTCCCTTTTGTGTATTCCTCTCATGGAAAAAAATCAATATCACGAGAACAAGGCGCTGGTTCCATACCTTCCCAGGCCACTTCAATAAAAAAATTTCATACAGAAAAAAAAATCTAAACTAACTGACAATTATAACTTTTTTTCCTTTTTATTATTTGTTTTAATTTTTTTTAATTATTCTTTTAATTATATATATATATATATATATATATATATATATATATATATATATATATATATATATATATATATATATATATATATATATATAGGCCTATGTAATAAATATATATATATATATGTATATATATATATATATATATATATATATATATATATATATATATATATATATATATATACTAGCCGTCCCGGCCAGGCCCTGCTCTGGCTTCTGTGAAAAACCTTTCTGTTAAAGACCATTACCTGTGTGTTTAGTAATCATCATAAACCCGGCATTGCCAACCCAAACCACAACCAACCAAAACCAAAACAACAAAACGCAAACATAACGCTAACACAATTACAAATACAAACGAAAACAAAAACTTAACAACAAACACAACCACACCCACAAACACCAATACAAACACAAAGAAAAAACAAACAAAAAAGCAAACGAAAACAAAAACCTAACAACAAACCCAACCACAAACACCAATACCAACAAAAAAAAAATCAACGAAAAAAGCAAACGAAAACAAACCAAATCCAAACGCAAAACCAACCAAAAACACAAATACAAACCCAAACAAAAAAAACACAAACAAAAACGAAAAAAGAAAGAACAAAAACGAACCAAATTAAAACGCAACCACTAACGCAAACCCACCTAAACACAAAGAAAACACTAACGCGAACATAAACGCCCGGGGCGGAATCACCTGTTTTAGCTTAATGAACGACTATAGTACCCCAACTTATTCACAGTCTTTTGCACTCACTTAAACGAACGCGCCTGTTTCAATTTAATAAACAATTTTAATACTCCAAGCTTATCCGTAAAATACCTACAACATTTGCACTTGATCAATCCCCGCTAATTATGTAATTATTTTTTTTCCCAACACCAAAACAAAGTAATTAAAAAGTAAATTATTTTCACGGAATGCAATGGGTTTATAAAGGGAAGTAATTGTGTTTTTCCTAATTTATCAAAGGGAAGTAAGTGCTATAGGACTAAATAAAGACATAATTAGAATTTTTGTAAAAGATGATATTTTTTTTAAAACTTGTGTTTAATGAACATGCCGACAATTATTACTATAATTTGAAAAATGAAAATTATTTCCCAACACTTTCAATAGTAATTTTTTAGCTCATAAATTTAGACAAATGCGCACGATAATTTTTCTAACACTTAAAATCGTACAATTCCAACGACATACAAATGCATTACATACAGAACTGAGCTTTATATATTAGATTGGAAATGATACAATAAGAAAAATAAGAAATAAAGAATAAAATTGTCATTTCAACAAAAACAATTCCACTCCCTATGATTGTTATTATTTTAATTTTTTAGAATAATAGCCAGTTAAAAATAAAAACTCACCTGTATGGAGTCATTGAGGCTAATAATCCCATCCCCATCCAGGTCTCTAGTGCTATTTTTAGTCATGTCAAGAACGGCTACTCCCATGTTGCAGCGAATACCAAACGACAACAAAAATCCGATAGAGCTGAGGATGGCGATCTGGTATCTCTTGGCGACATTACATCTGTGGAGTCGATCAAAGCCGGGAAAAAAAATTAATGCTAAGATTGTCTCTTCATGGGCCAACATGGTCGTTAAGACCACTCCAGCTACTTTAGAGGTTTTTTTTATAATGTGCAAGCTATTTTAATATTCCCCCAATTTATGAGTTGATGGTATAATTGGTGGCTATTATTCTACAAGCTAAAAAAATGTTAAAGTTCAGAATATATTTTCTTTTGTATCTCAGTACTTTCATCTTTACTCAAGTACTTTTTGTACCCCATTGTTCTGCTGCGTAACCAAGTACTTTATCATGTGCCCAAGTACTTTACTATGTACCCCAGTATTCTATTAAGTACGCAAGTACTTTAGTCTTTACTAGAGCACGTCTTTATTATGCATATTCTTCTGTACCCCTCCCCTGCAGAGAAGTTAGTAAATTAAAAAAAATATTTTTGTTATAAAAAAGTCAAGAAAGGCCTACTATAACATTAAACCATAATTTTAGGAAAGCTGGCACTACCAGCTTACAGGATAATGTTAGGAAAGGCCTACTTTCAACATTCATACAACATAATGTTAGGAAAGGACTACTATAACACTAAATCATATGGCCTACTATCAGCTGACAACATAATGTTAGGACAACAGTCAAGGTATGAGCAGTATGGAGGCAGTACAGATATCACTAAACTAAAACGGAATGGTCATAATACCAAAATATGCTGGGGTGAAAGGTTTCATACAGGTGGGAGATTTGCTGCGAGATCTAGCCATCCTTCATGTGACAGGGACAGCTCCTGGGGTAGGGATGGGGGGGGGTGACTTAACCAACCTACCTAAGACAAGGACAGCTCCGGGGGATGTAAGACTTGCTGGGGATGGGGGTAGGGTGGTGGCCTAGCCAACCTACCTGAGACAAGGACAGCTCCGGGGGTGGGGGTAGGGTGGGGGTGAGGTGGGGTGGGGTGGTATGACCTAGCCAACCTACCTGAGACAAGGACAGCTCCGGGGGGTGTGGGTAGGGTGGGGGTGACCTTACCAACCTACCTAAGACAAGGACAGCTCCGGGGGATGTATGACTTGCTGGGGATGTGGGTAGGGTGGGGGTGGGGGTGGGGTTGGGGTGACCTTACCAACCTACCTGAGACAAGGACAGCTCCGGGGGATGTACGACTTGCTGGGGATGTGGGTAGGGTGGGGTGGGGATAGGGTGGTGTGGGGGTGGTATGACCTAGCCAACCTACCTAAGACAAGGACAGCTCCGGGGGTGGGGGTGGCCTAGCCAACCTACCTGAGACAAGGACAGCTCCTGGGGTGGGGGGTGACCTAGCCAACCTACCTGAGACAAGGACAGATCCTGGGGTGGGGGTGACCTAGCCAACCTACCTGAGACAAGGACAGCTCCGGGGGATGTAAGACTTGCTGGGGATGAAAGATTTCTCCGACTTGCCAGGAAGTTCGTCAGCCTCGGTGTAGGCGTCGTCTAGCTCGTCGTACTTGACCAGACTCTTCTCGTCCGTCTGCTTGGACACGAGTCTGTGGGGAGAGGGATTAGCTGGGATTAGTGGTCAGAGACAACTGGAGTCAGAGACAACTGGAGTCAGAGACAAGTGGAGTCAGAGAAAGTGGAGTCAGAGACAAGTGGAGTCATAGACTAGCTGAGTGAGTCCTACGTTAGTGGAGTCACTTGAGTCATAGGTTTAAGGGATCAGCTGGGATTAGTGGAGTCAGAGACAAGTGGAGTCATAGACTAGCTGAGTGAGTCATATGCTAGTGGAGTCACTTGAGTTATAGGTTTAAGGGGTCACTGGAATCATACGTTTGTCAAATTTAGTATATTTAAAATTCAGAGGAGTCATTGTGCTCACTTGCTAGATGAGTCAGAAAAGTCACAATTTATTGAAAAACACTGGAGAGTCATTAACGTCATAGTTTTTAGAGTCACAACATTTAAAGTCATAGAAGACAGTTAAGTGGAGTCGAAAAGATAAATTATGGAGAACAGAGTTACAGTTTAAATGAGTCACAAGCATCATATTTTAGTGGAGTCACTTGAGTCACAGATTAGAGATTTACACAAAGAGTCCAAACTAACACTGTAAAATAGCAGTTGAATTAAGCGACCAGAGCCTTAATTAAAGTGACGTCCCAATAATTTGAGTAATGATTTAGCACAACACGAAGTTATCTGTATATTTTAGATGCCCCATGATATTACAGCTATACCAAACTATAAAGTTTGTTATATAAGCTAAATACGATCGTGTTTAGTTTGTTTTTTTTAATAAACTTTGTATTTAAAAACAGTTAATAGCAATGTAGTAACCAATATTATGTCTGCTTCATGAAGGCTATGATCCAAAAAATTGTTGAATCTGACAGAATTTTTATTTTTCTTAATTCCAAATATTATACCGTGCCCTCCCCACATGTAATACAACATTGTGGGTACTTTAGGTCAAGTTTTTGTTACGATGTCTTAATATTGTGTCAATTTTGACACATTGTAGTCATGTGATTGCTGTCGTCTGCTTCTTTTAATTCCTTCAACGTTAGGATTAGTGTCATGATAAAATTACTTTTCAAGCGAGGACACTCTTTAAATGTCATCACGAAATGACACTCATAAGATGTCACGAAATGACACTTTTATTATGTCATTTGCAAAGGAATATATATATATATATATATATATATATATATATATATATATATATATATATATATATATATATATATGTATATATATATATATATATATATATATATATATATATATGCGTGTATGTTTTAATGAATGTATTGTGCATAAATGGCGTTACTGGGTCGGGTATCACCCCTCCCCCCCACCCCCAAGGTAACTATCTCATGTTTAGATATACATGACTACAAATACTCCCAGAATCAACTGTACTAAGTCGTGACCCTACTATTTATATGTATATTTATACGTAGGTTTGTTTAGCTGACCAACTAATTGACAAAAGTAGCTTAAAAAAATAGGACGGACACAAATTCTCTTCATTTACTACGCCCACATTGACGCAACGTAATTAACTTAGAATGACTTGCTGTGATTTACGAGTAATCCTAATTAATCTGTTCAAGCTTAAGAGAAGTTTTGTAAAAAGAAAAAAAAAATCTTTTGTTCCGAGAGCAGTAAGGATTTTAGCTCGAGTTAATTTTTATTTTTTTTAAATCTGCGTTTGTTTCTCTATAAATCTGTCATGCAGCGTTTTACCAGTTCTTTGTGCTTTAGCTCTATGATCTTCGAATATATATCAAGAAGTGTCACATTTATATATCAACAAGTGTCACAGTTATATATAAACAAGAGTCACATTTATATATCAACAAGTGTCACATTTATAGATCAACAAGTGTCACATTTATATATCAACGAGTGTCACATTTACATATCTACAAGTGTCACATTTATTTATCAAACAATAGTCACGTTGGTGAATCAACTTCGACTGCAGTTATCACTCCACTCTATACACCACTTATCTGTTGCTAGACGCTGTCATCCATTCATCAATCGACCATCAAACCACATAACCCTAACCTTAACGTACACCCACACCAAATAACCCTAACCTTAACGTACACCCACACCAAATAACCCAAACCATAACGTACACCCACACCAAATAACCCTAACCTTAACGTACACCCACACCAAATAACCCAAACCATAACGTACACCCACACCAAATAACCCTAACCTTAACGTACACCCACACCAAATAACCCTAACCATAACGTACACCCACACCAAATAACCCTAACCTTAACGTACACCCACACCAAATAACCCTAACCATAACGTACACCCACACCCACACCAAATAACCCTAACCTTAACGTACACCCACACCAAATAACCCTAACCATAACGTACACCCACACCCACACCAAATAACCCTAACCTTAACGTACACCCACACCAAATAACCCTAACCTTAACGTACACCCACACCCACACTAAATAACCCTAACCATAACGTACACCCACACCCACACCAAATAACCCTAACCTTAACGTACACCCACACCCACACTAAATAACCCTAACCTTAACGTACACCCACACCAAATAACCCTAACCTTAACGAACACCCACACCCACACCAAATAACCCTAACCCTAACGTACACCCACACCCACACCAAATAACCCTAACCTTAACGTACACCCACACCAAATAACCCTAACCTTAACGTACACCCACACCAAATAACCCAAACCATAACGTACACTCACACCAAATAACCCTAACCTTAACGTACACCCACACCCACACCAAATAACCCTAACCTTAACGCACACCCACACCAAAAAACCCATAACCTAGTCCCCCCTTACACTTTAATACCTCTGTATTTATCCATAATTTCCCATCTATTCCCGAGTGATGATATACACAGGAATCCCATTTATCATATAAAGTCAGCTACACAATCGATTCCCTTTTCATACTCTGCCATTCTAACTAGTTGTCTCCCTTAGGACTCCCAACTATAGCTACAAAAAAAATGGAATATTTCAATGAAAATTTTATTTACGCATAATACAATTTATTCAGTTTTTTATTTTATTTTTGCATTCACGGCGTTTTATTTTTTAGTCCGTTGTTTTAAAATAAAAATGTTTTATGGTGAAATCCAGCATTCAGTAGGTTCAGCGATTCTACTGTTGTTAGTTCCAGCTTTTGTGAGTTAGTATGAAATATATTTTATTTTACATTGTTTCGTACGAGTTGGTTGTATGAATATTTTAGTATCTCTCGGAAAAATGTTTTGACTGGAATACAAGTCACGTGATGTTGAAATAGACTTAGCTTGAATTGCCTGAGTAGATTTGTTGTGAGCAGTACATAATTTTGACGTCAGTGTCCTCAAGCTAGGGCTGCTAGAGGACATTGTAGCAATGTCCTTCTTTATCATGATAATCATGATAGGCCTAGAGGACATTGTGGTAATGTCCTTCATTATCATGATTGGCCTAAAGGATCTTTTAGGATTGTCCTTCTTATCATGATAGGCCTAGAGGACATTGTAGCAATGTCCTTCTTTATCATGATAGACCTAATGAGCATTGTGGCAATGTCCTTCAGTATCATAATAGCCCTATAGGACATTGTGGCATTTTCCTTCAGTGTTATGATAGGGCCACTTGCATTTCAATAAACAATGATATCTTGTACGGCTACTTAGGCTACTACGAGGGTGCGGGGGGGGGGGGGGGGGTCTTATGTTGTATAAACGGATGACGTTTTAGACTAAAATCTTTGGGGGTTGAGCGTCTAAGACGTCATTATAATGTAACATAACGCATGACTAATGCAAGATTCTTCGATTTACTATTCTATTCACTATAAAATGATAATCGTTTTTTTCCCATTAGTGTAGAACAAAATCATTGAAACAGCAGCCTTGACCTTTATTCCAATCGATACCAATAGATTTTTTTTTTAAAGACGCAAAAACCGTGTCACCAAATTCTACGTCACAAAATACTCCAACTCAGAACAAAGAGAAATCAAAGAACAGACAACTCCCTGTCGGGTCTAATGTCAACCAACAATCTACAGTAACTACCCCTTGAAATAGCTGCTCAGCCGTTCACTAAAATTCCAGGCAAAATGACAGTAGTTTGGTGCGGATTTTCCCGAAAATTCTTCACTACCAAGACGATAGACTAGAAATGGGAGCACAAAAAAATGAATCGCAATTTTATGAAATGACTTATAAATAAATTGAGGCGGTCATTTTAGACGTAAATCTCGAATGGCTGGCTTTAAGTTTGACAAGATAGGATGTTAAACCTTTTTGTCACTACACATAATGTTGAACTTGAATGTTTGACTACATTCGATGTTAAACCTCTATAAACACTGACTACAACTTGGCTCTCAAAATTGATATTTTAGCCTTCCCAACATTTTATTATGTACGGCAGGGGTCTCCAAACTTTTCAGTCCGAGGGCCGCATTAACTATCAAATTTCAGTTCGGGGGCCAGTTTCTTCCAGGCATGTCTTTGATTTTTCTGGGCGAAGTTCCTCAGCCATCAGCAACAAACGTTTTTTCCGTGGACAAAAAGATCTCCGCGGGCCGGATGAGAGGACTTCGCGGGCCACATCCGGCCCGCGGGCCGTAGTTTGGAGACCCCTGATGTACGGGAATGAACGGATGAACTCTACTTCACCAACCCGTGTTTACCTTGACTGGTTTATTTAGTTTACCTAATGCGTAGCCTAGCGGGAGAGAGCAGCTAGACTGCTAACAATATTATCGCGTTCGAATCCGGGTTCAAATCAGTTCTTGATTCAACCCAGCTCTGATGGGTGCCTAACTTACGTCAGGGAAACAAAGGCGGCTGGACATTGTGCTGACCACATTATCCATTCATATGCCGAGGTCTATGAATCAGATGAACTCTACTTCATCTGCCCCATGTGTCTTGGACACTAACGGGATTAAGAAGAAGAATATGATGCGTGTTAAATTTGTCTAAATACAGACAACCTAT